CCATGGAAGAACATGAGTGTAAGTCCAATACCCTTGCCCCGCTGTGTCTGTCCTGACTATGGCATCACTGTTTGGGATCCAACCCACAGAACAAACCCAGCATCCTAAATTCAGAGAAGGAGACACTACAGAAGCATGCAGAGCATCCAGAAGCTTATCCCCACTACACAGCTCACCATTTCCACACTGCATTGTCACCACTACAACACTTAAATCAATGAGAACAATAACGAGAGAAGAAAAACACTTTTGACATCCCCTACAGTTTAGGATAGCAGCAATATTTAGTGTGAATTTCTCTGCTCATCAAGCTAGTACTCAAAACAATGGCAGAAACTTGAGAGAGAGAGAGAAAAAGAAAAAAAAGAGAACAGAAAAATGTAATTCCACGGCATATCCTCATTGCCTGGTGCTCATGACTCGTGGCTTCATTTAATTTCTGGAGTAGGTGGGGGTCTCTTTCTCTCTTTCTTAAAGAAAAGTATCTTTGGTTAAAGAAAAAAACAGGTTTATTGCCCTTCAGATTTGCTAACGGAATTGCCTTCAAACCAAGCTAAAAAGACACAATTCCTTGAAAGTATAAAAAAAGGAAAAATGTCACAGTCAGAAGTGTCCCTTTCTTGGAATGTTTTACATATTGTGACAAAACTACTAGAGAAAGAGAGAGAGTAAGAGACCTGCCAAGGCCCAGTTTGTTGGGTACAAGCAGGTAAAACTCTGCTGAGGAAGATGGAATTGCATTTGCTCTCTCTAATGACTGGATTTGACCCAACCTACAGTGAGAAGTGCTTCCATTTGGGTTTTCCAATCTGCTCATGTTGGCAGTTCTCTCCCCTCCCTCCTGCATTCTGGCTTCACAGCAGGAAATTGAACATCCATCTCCGAGGAGCGGCAACATCCGTGCTTTCTGCACAAGAAGAATGCAAGACAAGATGATGGGGAAAAGGACCACTTTCTCACTGTGCCAGCCATAAGCCACCCATAAAACTTCCAGCATTTAAACATTCGCTTCCGCTCTCAAGTTTCCATGCCATTTACCCTATGCACACAAGGAACACCAACTGAACCAAATCATGCCAATCCTATTTCCTCTCCAAAGGATTCTGCAAACACAACAAGCTGGCTGTTATGTGTGTGGTACTGACAGCATGCAAAGCTTTTGCTTCCTCTGCTGAAATGACCGCTTCCCCTGTGACCAACCACACCTTTATCCATACAATGCCTTTGTACAGGTGTGAGGGAGGAGGTGTTGCTCCCTCATACCTGCCAGAAAACAGCTCTCACACAGTGTTTCACCATCAAAGCAATTTGATGGTTCTGCTGTGCATCTCTTGCAATCAGCATCCCATCACCGCTATCATCTGACCACCTACAGCTGGCAGACCAGCAACTCCAGGATGGACAATGTGAAAAGTGGCTCCTCCGATACGCACTGCACTCCTTCTCACAGCCACCCTGTGCTGTTGTAACAGCTCTGCTGCCAAAAGGCCCCCAAAATCAGATCTGAGTCCACATGGGAGAGCAGGTCAGATGGGAACACAGGGAAAATGCAATTAGTACAAGTAAAACATTACTGTGATTTCGCTGGCCCTAGGCTACAGGAGCACATAAACAAGTATTTAACTTGAAGGGTTTAAGTCTGTTCTTTAGTAAAGCACTCAAGCGCATGATTAACTTTCAGTCTCTGCTGAAGTCCTGTAATTTTTTAATGGAATTTAAATTCAGTCACTGCTTCCCCCTATTCTAACAGAGCAGGTAACACAAATGAAACCATAAATATCTAAACTGTAGCAACCAGAACAGCTGAGCAAAATTCCACAACAAATAATTATAAAAGAAGGGAAAATCTACATCAGAAACAAACAACAACAAAAAAATCAAACCAAACATCCTGACCCTGTGGACATCTAACCTTCAGTGAGAGTGGAAGATTAGGGGAGGAACACTGCCCTGTCTGCAGCCGTGCTTTACCCAGCTGATGCCATCCATCTGCACCAGTGTGCTTTATCCAGTGATGGGACTGAGCCGCACGCGCGGCTGCCATGGCTCCTTCAATACTCCTGTTTCTGGAGAGCCACCTATCTGCTTTCTCCTTTAGGAAAACCAAACCCTTAACATGTAGCGTGGCCTTGGACTCATCCACAGGGCCCAATGATCCTGGCCTGGAGCACAAACAAGTCTTAATCTTATAGAAATGTCCTATCAAACTGAGTGATGGTGAGCTGGATCCTGAGGCACCAAGGTCCTTACCTGCCTCTGATCCAGCTCTCCTGACAGAACATTACATTAGCTGCTGTTGGGTTTTGGCCTCTGAATGAATGTTTTCTGGACTTATTCTTAAATGCAGATGTGACCGAGAGGATAACTCCTGTTCCTCAAGGCTGTAACCACTCTCACGGAGTGGCCCCACACCCCCCAGTTAGTGGCAGAGTTTTCATCCTCGGAATAATTTCATTCCTCCTTTCTCCTGCAGTTCTCACAATCACAGCAACCCTTCCAATGCCACTGATGAAGAGAAATAAAATTAAGAACAGTAACAACAATACTAAGAGAAAAAAACCCCTACAAAGTTTAAGGAATGCGTGTGCAATTAAAACCCAGAGTAAAATACAATAATAATAAAATAATAATCATAATCGTAACAACCATACAATAAAATAACATTATCTTTCCTTTTCATGACATAAGCAGCATGACACTCTCACTCCCGAACTGGTGGGAGAGGAGAGGAATGCAAGAGAGAGAGAGCAGGGCTTTATTTTCCTGTCTCAGGTGAAAGGGGACATGTTGTCTTTCCAAAGAAAGGGGGGGTAAGGTGCATAGGCTGCTGGGAGATTGCATCCTCATCTACAGTATATTGAGCCGGAATGAAGGATAGGCAGGAAAAGAAAACTGTGCAAGGGTAGCCCAGGAACCAGAGCTGGCAACCAGGGAGGTTATTTGGTGGTTTGCCAGAAGACAACAGCCTTGTTGAACAGCCTATGCATAGTGGGATCCCTTCTTCTTCCAGGCCAGCCAAGCAGTTACCACAAGCCAATATATTGTGCTTGTCTTTCTGTCAGCTTTTCCAACCTGAGAGAGCCTTCTTCATCACTTCCACTCAGGGAAACTATCCCTTACCACCCTGCCAATGAACCTGCTATTTTCCAGCATCTTGCAAAATACCTGACTACTTCATGCTCTAGTTACAGGGAAATGTAGAGTGGAACCAAATAGCCACAAAGACTTCAGCTTTCATGGAAATGTTTTACTAAATTCCTTTCTCTCCTTCCTCCTCAGGACATGCACATGCCTGGGTACTCGAGACATTTCCAAGTACTGATGCACCAGTGAAACTGCCGCTACCAGGAAAACTCCCCTCTGAACCAAACCAACTACAGGAAAGGCTCTCTTTAAAAACTGTTGGAAAACAAGACGACCATGTAGCATTCCTTCGTGTGGAGGACTGCAGCACCGCTGTGCTCTCCAGTTCCAGGGTCACTCTGCTGCTGCAGGCAGTTTTTTGAGGTGTAGGTGAGAAGAGAGGAGGGGAGGCACACAGTGTCACAGCTCTGTTAGAGTGGGTAAGGCTCGATGTATTAAAACACTCTTTTCACTTAAGAAACCTGAGATTGACTCTCTCAACTGGATTTTCTCATGCTTGCTTTGGGACTCCAGCCCTTTCCTGACCCCTTCTCATCAACAGTGAGAGATGTTGGCAACCATTAGTGTTTCCCCCTTTCAAGGGCTAAATGTTTGTTCCCATTTCAGACACACAACCAGGACAACCCAATGATGAGGGTGGACGCTGTCCTCCCACTCCATCAAGAACATCGTCAAACAGCAGAATGAGAATTCAGTTTCCGGGGAGGAAACCTGCTATTTCAACAGGACAAAAACAGACCAGTCCAGAAACAAATCCCCAGACCCCCTGGAAGTCACCCTAGGTCTCACAACTGACCCGGTCACTTCCAGCCCATCCAGTGCTTGACAAAACACTCAGTTATACACACTTCTGACCCCAATGAGCCTCCCCAACACCTCGCCAAGTGAGCTAAGATTGACGACGTGAAAAAAAACCCAACACCACCAGCAGAAGGAGAAAATCGGCAATAACACCCCCCCCCCAAAAAAAAAAACAACAAAAAACCCCCCAAAAAAACAAAAAAGAAAAGAGAAAAAAAGAGAAGAAAAAGAGCTGAGAGTAAATTCCGACTAGCCTCAGTCAGTTTCTAGGAGTACCAGTGGAAGTAAACCCTTAAACCGCGTCTGTAGTTCGGTAAGGCACTACGAGGGAATGATGTAAAACTAAGACTGTGACAGTTGTAATGGCTGTGCCGAGGAACACACCACAGAGAGAAGGCAGCATCTGCACGCACACGCACACACACGCACGCACACGCACATACCTGGACAATCACATTTGTTACATGCCTATGTTATATCACTTTTCTTTGTGCAATCACATTGAGGAATAGTCTATTGGTATCGTTGAAGTTCAACACAAAAGAGTAAAAAGGGGTACGACCTGTATAGTGCTACATTCTACCGGGGCTGGGGGCAGAGGGCTGGGGGCAGCTAAAATGTCTCCTCCTATGCTAAAACGGCTAGGGATTAAAAAGGAACATTTCCGAAAAAAAACCTAGAATAAAACGCAACTGAAATCCAACATACATTATTAGAGATCTTGTTTAGGAACAGTATTTCTCAGGGATTTATCCAGTGTGTTCAAGAAAAGGGAGAAATACCCCCATTGCTTCTGCTCTCAACCAGTGTTGCATGGCTGGATTTGCCCAGGTGCATTTAAATGTAGCAGTGTTAGGTCCAAATTTAGAGCACTGGGACAACATTTTATCCTCCTCCCTCAGCCTCTCTCACCCACTTTCTTTTTCCATTAAAAATCCACCAAAACTTGTGTATACTTTGGGATACAAAAACCACTGCAAAGGTGGGGTATAAACCCTTTGAAAAGCTGGATAAATCCCTAATCCATATACCTATAGGATTAAAAACCTAATGGATTTCATTTTAGGTGTTTTGGACAACAAATTTCTAAATGTAGCTCACTATTGGATGAAAATAACCTTTAAAAGTCTGTTGGTGAAGTTCTTCAAAAGACAAGACCCGCTGGAGGGTCCTTCTGCTTCTCTCTTTCTCTCTAGTTTGGTGCAGAATGGTTGGTTTTTTGTGGTTTATTTTTTTTCTGTTCTTTTTTTTTCCATTTTCTTTTTTTTTTTTTAAATAAAAATTGTAGAATTGGTTCTCCCCCTTCTTTCCTCTTTTTCTTTTCTTCCTTAAAGTCTCCTTCGTTCAAGTTTCACACGAGCCTCCCATTTGCATTGTTAAGTTTCTCATGTTCTTCAATACAAAAGCGGCTGCCTCACTCCCCCCGGGATGGGTGCGTCTCTCGCTCTTTTATTCCAGTGTTTAGATGTAAGGGTACTGGTTCACCTTGGTAGGGCTCAGTGGGTATCCAGTGTAGACTGTGGAGGCTGGAGAAGCACTGATATAGGTCTGGTGGGCAAACTGAGCCTGGTACTGGCTCGGGTGGATGGTGGGTGAGGGCAGGACGCGCGGGCCCATGCTGACAGGGACCTGGTGGACGATGCTGGCAGGGTAGGTGGTGTGCTGCACCGCGTGCCGTGCAGACCCTTGGGAGGCCACCAGGTGCGCGACGGTGCCCGTGGAGCCCAGGGCGGCGGGGGCGGTGTATGTGTACAGGTGGGGCTGGGTGGGCAGGTGAGCAGCGGCCGCCGCGGCCAAGTGGGGATGAACTGTACCATGGCTGGGACTATTGTGCGGGAAAGAGTACGGGGCCTGAGCTATCGTTGGAGTGATGTAGGCTTGCTGTCTCCGGTGACTCCCTGTGCGGTCGGTCGTGATGTGCTGCTGGGCCTGGATAAAGACAGCAACAGTGATAAGCAGTTACAACACAAGAGATGGCTCTTCACCTCCTCAGTAGTGCCTGGGAACCTCCCTGCAATGCCAGGACAGCCTCAGAGAAGTCTCTTGTGCTCCTCCTGACACCTGCAGCACCACCAGTCTTCCCTTGGAAATGGGTGACAGCAATGAGTCCCTCGCAAGCCTAGGTTTCAGACATCATCCCTGTAGTTTCTTACATTGACTGAAATGCCCCCCAAAGAGGTCAACAAGTCCCTCAGTTTGAGCCACAAGCTGCTGGCACAGCTACCACAAAGACAAAGCCTTGGATGCTCAGCTCCCAAGAACATCTTCCACAAGTCCAGTTGTTCACACAAAACATGGTTTTTGTTAGTGAACTCTCTGCTGACAAAATGTACTGTGCAGATAGCTCAGGGGAATGAAATTGCCTAACTATGCCTGGAACAGGCAGTTTATTTTTGCTCAGTTTGGGTGTTTGCAGTTAATAATTTCCTTGGTTAGTAAAAATAACCATGTTATTTTTTAGAGACACAACCCTTGGTTTGATCAGATCCTGCAGGTATCTGGTGCCCTCGTGTAATCTGCTATAGTTACTTGAGCACAGGCAACTTCTTGCAGTGGGACAGGAGCAATGCACTTTTTTTCCAGGGATTTTCTAAGTTGTTTTCTTGCACTGCACAATAATGTAAGGAGTTTTCCCTGTCATTTGTAGTCAGAGCATTAAATTACCCATAAAGTAGGAATTAGAAGGCAAGAAGGAAAATGCCCCATGCTATCTCCGTCTGTTCTTCCAAACCTTCTCACCCTCTTTGTAAGCACGCCCTGCGCTGTCATTGTGGTCTGAAATGCAGCAGCCACACTCCTCCCCAGCTCTTGCAAACAGCATCTCGCCCAGTTCCTCCATTTTCATGCACTTTTATTTAAAATTTGTTCACATTTTTAAATTTCATCTGCATTTTGAGGGGGAGGGGACATTCTTCTCCATCAAATTACTTTTCTTTTTAAAAAACAGCTCTGTTCATCCACCTGTCCTCTGAGCTCTCCAAACTTTCTCCTCTTGAAACACTGGTAACTGTGCTGTAACTTCTCTACTCTTGTTACCTCACCCCAGGGAAGAAAGAGGCCCCTGGTGCAGGATGTGAACAGGCGATTATTTACTGAAGCTCCTGTCTAATCACAGACTGTGAAACATTTTGAGAACTGCATGCTTCCAAGAAATGGGATTCGCCCAGATCTCAGCTCACGTTTATCACAGGATGGATCAAACTCCTAGGTCACGTATATGCACAATGAGGTCATATGCTCATGAGGTCATGTGTATGCACAGAGGCTTTGCTTTGACTTCTCTTCCAATCCCACAGCTGGGCTTATGCACTTCACTTGCAAGATACCCTCCCCATGGTTACCTATAGCTAAGGAGAACTCAGTCCTTCCTATGTGCTCCTGCTCAGCTCTGTTGGGGCCAAGCCGCTGCACTTCCCTCTCACGTTATTCCCACTCACACTGTCATTCCCACTCACATCTGACTTCAGAACATGTGGTAAGAAGCCCACTCAAGGGTGTGATCTGCACTACCTCTGCTGCCTGAGCGGGAGGATCAAGCTCTGCAGTCAAGTAAAAACCAGCTGATCAAACTCAACATGGGGCTCAACTATCACTAGACTGGAAGGGGACAGCCCGTGCTGCAGGAGCAGTAGGGAACAGCTGGATGATGCACCACCAAAATCAGTCTTGGTTGACTTACCTGACTTAGATTAAGAGGCTGCTGCTGCTGGAAATGTGCTCCTGGTCGCTGCTGCCTATAGGCAACGGCTCCAGACGAGCTCCCTGAAGAGTGACCGCTGGTGGAGGTCACGGTGCTGGAGGACTTGGACTTGTAGGAGGATGAGTGGTGACTGGTGGTGACTGTGCCAGGAAAGGAAACACATTTGTAGCTTACATCACATTCTTTAATTGCTCACCCTACCTTTTCCTCACTGAGTCTCCTCCAGAGTGGCTTTTGGGAGGAGACATACAACAGAAGCAGGGTAAGAAAACTGTTTCTCTTAATTAACAGAATACCTCAGCAGTGCTTCGTATACACGACCAGCCTGTTATCCTAGAGGCAGACAAGCAGACCTGATAACTGGACCCAAAGCAGGCCTGAAGAAGGCTTTATAGACCCTTCAGAAGTGCAAGAAACTGTTCTGCCAGCAGAACTGTACAACGCAGGTACAAATCCCAAGGAGAGGAAGGAAAGTATGGTGTGCACAGCATAAAAAATCCCTGTCTTGCCTAACATCAAGGTGAGTGGGAAGGGAGGGAGAAGGTGCTAGTGGGGGGGCTCACCCTTTGAACCTTTGTGTTCACCAGCAGTGCATCAAAAGCAAAGACTGCCAAGTAGCTCAAAGTCAGTTGCTTCATGCCAGACTTCCACCATAAACCTCTTTTCAACACATCCTACTATCTAGCATTGCAGAGGTTCTGGATGAGCAAACCTCATCAGTCCATAAGGAAGATCCTGGGGAAACATTCTTCCCAGAAACGTCAACAAGTTTGGATGAAAATTCACATGTGTTTTCAATCTCTTACCCATTTTAAAATACACCTATGGAAAGGCAAGGCAGCAAAGGTTCACACTTGCATTTGTGAGCCTTTAATGTCAAATGTTGAGGTACAGGCTGCATTCTGTTCTTGGGTTTGTACAGAACTAACTGGGTCCAACACTTGCTCCTGTGACTCCTGAGTGAACCAGGGCACATAAATAATGCAGTATGGCTCCCAAGAACAGATGTGTCACTTGAGAGAAGGGCAGGAGCACGTGGGTTTTTTTGGAAAACAAAACAAACAAACAAACAAACAAAATGAAACTGAACAATGAGATTCTTCCAAGATAAATCATTTATTTCTTACTAATTTTCTTGACGGAAGAGGTGCAATTTACCTGGTGCCAGGCTATCGCACTCTACCAACACCTCACTGGCCTGGGTTTTCAGTGGTGGCACGATGATCGTTCGGGGGTTCCCACTGCAGTGAGTCTCTGGAACCCCTTTGGTGTCGTAGCTGTTCCCGTTATTCTGCCCTGCACGATGTTGCACGGCGTAAGGGCTGTTGTTGCTGGAGGAATCAGAGTAGGGGGAGTCATGCACGGTGACACAGCTGATGACATTCTTCCTTTGCTTGGACAAGGTGCTGAAACACAAGCAGACAAGTGGAAAGAGTGATCAGGCAATGATCAACTCGAAATCACTAGAAGACTGTGCCTGTGGCAGACTAGCTCCATAAAGGCAAAGCACATCCTTCAGTCCTCTGCCAGAGAGAGGCTGCTTAAGCCAAATCCCAGGCTTCAAAACTCACTCGTTACTATTCCAGGAAAGCCCTCATGGAGGTCAAGGAGTGAGTAAGACATTGTGGATAGATCTTATATTCACACTGCTTAGAATAGCACTGAACCAGACTGCCAGATTTATTTTCAGACTGCTTTTTATGTATGTGTGCAGTAGAAGCCCAGCACTTATACTATGCTTTGTTGCGAGTCTCACCACCCACACAAAAACGTGGAGGTTTCTCCCAGCCTTCCAGCAATGATTTAATAATAGATGCTATGACTTTTCATGCTTAAATTCCATGAATCTACAAAATACACTCCATTCTATTTACTAATATGGTGCAATAGGCATATATACTCCATAAGCATCTGAAAATGAGGAATGAAAAACAAAGAAATGAGCAAAGTATGTAACGCTTTTGATTTTCTTTTTCTCTGAATAGGCACTGGGTCTCCTGACTCTAGTGCGGAATATCAAGGTCCTGCTGCAACTAATCTATCTATGACATCAAAAAAGTGATTAAAAAAGAACATCAACACTTCCCAGATTAGTGCTAGAAGTTCATTAGACTAGACTGCATGAGTACGATTGGGATTTGCTCTGCTATTGTGTCTAATTATTCCTGATGGTTTCTCCTTCCTGTTATGAGCTTGTTTAGGGAGAAAAAGAGATCGAGAAAGAGGAGGGAGGAAGGGGGATGGTGAAGATTTGCTTAAATGGCTCACATCCTTGACAGTGCACAGACCTTGACTACAGAAAATAGCTGTTATGTTTCACTGATTGCATTATGTTGTTATGGCAACTGAAGTTTTTAAAATGATGAAAAGAAATGGATAGCACATAAAAAGCTAAGTAATTAGGCTTAATGGTGGAAACAGCCCCAACAGGAACAGAAATGACATGGAGAAAAAGGAATCTTAACTTCTTGAGTGTGCACTTTAAACAGAGAGAGATCTCTTTCCCATAGAGTGTTCTCTCCGGTCTCCCACTCTGCCTAGTCCGGTCCAGTGAAGAGCTGTTAAATCCAGTCTGAGTCTGTGATGGAGCTGTTTGTTGCCTACTCTCAGCATCGCTTCTTACCCAAGGAAAGGTGGGTGGAGCAGACACTGAGAACAGTTTCCTTCCAAGGACATTGTTTGCCATATTTATTTTTCACAGTGCTAAAGGAGCACTGGTGGATTCCCTTCCACTTGTCCATTCCAAAGTCTCTCTGTCAGCACTCACAAACTGCAACTGACCACCTCGCTCCCAAGACTTGTGATTGAAAACCTATTACCTTTTCCTTTAAAGAATGTCTTGGGGTGATGCATTCACAAACAAGTTACCATTACACAGACTTTCCCTGGGCTATCGTCACAGGATCCTGGTGTGTCCCAGGAAGGACACACAACCATGTCCGTTCTACTCACAGTGAAAAACATGTCTCAAGAGGCCCCTGCTACTGTCACTTGAAACAGGGCAGATGATAGAGAAGGAGATGGAGGTATTGCACAACAATCTGGAACTGGAAAGTGATTCTTCCAGGGGCAGGGATGTATCAACAGGAAAGATGTACAACACCAAACCCTCATATTCTGCCTTTTCACAAGGAGCTGGAGAGCTCTGGATTAGAAATGGAAAGAGCAATAGCATATCTTAGATGGACGACAACCGTATGTGAAGAAAGATGTAGCAGTTTGGATATGCTGCTACGAAAGAAGAATATTAAGCCAATAAAAATGACTAATATTGCATCAATATTCCCCTCTCCATCAGTAGAAATGCCTGTAATCACACATTTATGAGTATCCATGCTGCTTGCCCTTTGCAGCTACCCTTGGCTGCCAGTTGGGAAGAGAGATATATTCTTTATCTCTGACAGTTATTACATTTTATAAAGAAAAATCAAGTCACTAAAGAGTTTTCTGACAACTGATAAGGTCTAACTGTTCTTTTACAGTCCCTTCTTTACATAAGTGGCTGAGCTGCTGAACTGGAAATACCTGCTCTCAGATGACACTTGACATGGGAAGGTTGAGCTGTAGAGCTGGAAAGGTAATTTTCTGTGTAATCTGTGCTATTTATTGTTTCAGAATGGATATATTTTTCACCAATTTGATTGAGGGCTTGTCAAAGCAGGGACCATGAGAATTTTTCTCCTTCAGAGTGTCAAAGCTCCTTGGTTACAATAAGAAATTCAAGTATAACTGTTTGCTTAAACAAATAAGTGACCTCAAATTCAAACCTTTCCAGAGAAAGGGACTGTAGCAGGGTATTAAACTAATTTCATGGATTGGAACCTGAAAAGGACCAGAACTATGGTCCTGCCAGGCCTTACGCAAGTGCTCAGCAGAACTAACATGTCTCATCTCCCAAAGTCAACTGGGCTATTCCAGTAACAGGGCTAAAGCCCATGGGTAAATATTTGCAGGATTAGGGCCCGAGAGATCAGCCTCTTGATTCATCAGGCTGCATCATTTCAAGGACACAAGGAGTTCCATTGAAAGCAGCTGGATTTCTGTATTTAGGAAAGGTAGCACAACTGCAGTTAATGTTACAGCAGGCAGAGAAGTCACTTGGGACTAATCACACACACCCAGAGCTCAGCACCTGCTGTACCATAGCCTGCCCCAGAGATTAAGGGTGGGAATTTCAAGAACATCAAAGGCCCAGCTCATGCTGAAAATCAGTTGATTCACAGGCCTAAAGATATACGCTAATCCAAAATGGAGGTTTTTGAAAATTCAACCCAGCAGAGTTAGCATTCCCCCTACTCAAAGCCTTCTTGCTCGTCAGCAGCTGTTTTCCTTCCAGCTCCCTCTAAGGACTCAGCTACTCTCCCCACCTCACAGTAACCCAGGAGTTATCTGTGTGAGGTTCAGACTGATGTATCGCCTTCCCTGCTCACAAACTATGAGGACTGAGAGCTTTTACCTGTTGATGCAGCACTTGCCTACTCAGCAAGCTTACTGTATTCCTATAACTCAGCCACAGCTTTTGGGGATGTTTGTGCTTACACAGAAAAATACTATTAAAAGTCTTGCCCCCTTCCTATTAAGCTCAGTCCAGGCCTGGTAATTGCTTTCCCTCCTGCAAGCACAGTCGTGGCAGCATACGTGATTTAGTAGTTTTGGGAGTCGGTATGTGTTCCTGGTCAGCTTGTGTGCCTGCCTGCATATGTGGGTAGGTGTATTTCAATTCTCCAGGAGAGGGAGGGGGGAAGGTTACTGAAGTGGCAGTGAATCCATATGCACAGAATGAAAAGCACTAATCCAGAAAGGCGTTTCAACCCTTACTGCATGGGGCTGTACCCTCCCTTTTGAAACAGCAGCTGATAAAACATGCATTGCTTTGCACATTTATTTATTAGTTTATGAGTAGTATCCTATTCCCACCTTGTCCTGAAGAGCTTGTTCTCAAACTTGGACACAAAAGAAAAATTCATATCTGTCCAATGTGCAGACACAGAGCATGACTATGCCTTTGAACAAGTAGAAGCAGGGTTTGGAGACAGCTCTCTAACATAACATCACTCTCCTGAGTGCACAGCAGAGATGGACATGGGTCCCTATTGTCTCCAGCCAGGGAAAGTCTGATAGAGGAAACAAAAGACAGTTTGTGCACAGGCACCAGGCAAGAAACTAAGGTGGGCATCTGATAATGGAAAGGGGCTGAAGGCAGATGTTGAGAACAAAAAATGAGAGGAAATAAAAAAAAGGAAGATGCTGAATTAGGTGTTAATGCTGAAACCACCTCGATAGCCAATGACAAGGACAGGGACAACAACTCTTATAACAATGCAACTTGAGATGATTTCTACTTGCTGAAGGCCCAGCCCAGAAGCTGGATGTGACAGCATTGCATGAATGGGATCTTTTTTCCCCTGGAATACCTTGAGTTACACCAGAATCACAGAAAAAGCAAATGGTGTCTAATGGGGGCAATTCTTCAGTGTGTGGTTCACTCCAAGAGCTACAAACCTTTCAGTGTGTCTGACACTGCAGCAGCATGGTCTTACAGCTCTCAAGGTCACAAACTTGGCCTTCCAGTTTGGAGGATGAAGGAAGCCATCGCACAAGAGTGCCTTTGAACTGGTGTGTATATACAACCAGGGCACGTAAGCTTTACCTCACATAACAAAAACTCTGTTCCAGGTCTCTGAAAAGGTAGTAACATGCAGCCTTTTCAGTTTGCTGCTTCAAAATAGTCCACCTATCCTAGGAAAGTATAGAGTCAGCCAACAAAAACCCACACTACAACTGCAATCACTCTCTTCATGCTGAAATTTTATGCCATGCATAGCTCAGTGTCGAGAACATGCCCCCCCTCTCTTCAGCTCAACCTCCATCCTGACCTGTTAATCTGCTCTCACCTTCTTTGTGAATTTGTGATGGTAAGAGGTCATTTTATTAGGATACACAGGACGTGCCATAGCTATTTAAGTCATATATTCTGAATTGCTTAGAAGGTTGTAAGGGTCCTGCTGCTGAAGGTTTGCTGACAGAGCTACTGTCTATCTCTGTTATTTTAAGTATTAGTTGCATGTCATCGGTGTGTCTTCTAGGAGATGGAAGGCACCAATCTTTTTACCAAATGACTGTGGTTAGTCAACGTACTGCTATGCAGAGTCAGTGCATTACTATGCACAGCACAACACAGCCACAATAGGCTATATGTCAAAAGAGAATTACAAATGGTGCTTTGCCCCTACCACATGCACATCAGCAAGTTGGCAAAAACACCTGGTTTGTGCCTGCCAGCAAATTCTGTGTGTAAGGGGAATTAAAGTCTTCTGAAGTGGGGCCCACCATCATTGCACTACAAGGTGAACAACGTGAGTAACGACTTGCATCAGCTTAAGCTCTGTTATAAAGACAGACTCTATCTCTCACACAGAGGATATTGTATAGTTTACCATCTTAAGAGAGAGAGGGAAAAAACCACAACCCTGCAAGGATTTTGTTCCAGCGAAGATGGTCAATGAGGCAGTTACTCAGTATGCTGATGCAACAGCTGCAGTCAGCCTGCCTTGCCCAGCAAGACAGTGACTACTGTGAGGATCCCATGGAAAACCAAGATGGGGAGATGTTACTTATGACACCAGCATAGGCAGTGGGGAACTGAGAGGCTCTCTTGTCTCTCTAGGGTGCAAGGACCCTCAAAACCTACCACCTGAAGGCCATAATTGTATTGTTTCAAGAAAAATCCTGTTTTCCTTGTCTGCTGCACTCATTGCTTGGAGGGGAAGGATTCTTGGCACATCACAACAGCCACCGCCACTGCCCTTCCTTCCACCCCTTCCTCCTGCCATGCTCTGTGATGAGTCTCTTGGCAGAATGTAGAAATACCCCTCACTGAACCAACAGTGCAGCCCAATGCATCCCTCCCCAGGACCTTGTGTGCTCTCCCTCCCAGCCACAATTCCAAGATGCCTTTGTGTCTCTCCGCTCCATGCTTAAGCTGTTGCTTTATTTTTTTCCACTTCTAAGCTTCAGCAATGTTTAATCAAAGGAGGATTTATATTTAAACTAGAGCAACAGGTGAAGTTGCACCCTGGGGAGTACTTAACCCCTACTACTTGCTACTCGCCGAGCATGTGCTCCAATCACCTCAACTGCAGTGGCACTATTGGTCAGTTGGTCTGCCTGCTTGAATTTCTTGTGAGAGCAAGCAGAGAAACTAAAGAGGAACAAATTTTAAAAAGTAAATATCAGTCTACTTTCTGTTTCACTTTCTTCAGTGCTTTACAGGTTAGACCTGAATTCTTCTATGCAGAATAAATAACAGTTGGGGTATTATCCTACAGCACAGCAGTGAATGTCTCTTCGGCCTATCAAGTCTCTTCGTAAAGGATGCAGAGCTGAGAGTGTACAAGTTCACTGATGATAAACAAACAGGGTGACAAAACTGTTTCCTGTTCATAAAATGCATTTTATATGCAAATTTTCCCCCCTGCTGTTTGAAGGGACTAAATGTCACATACAGTGTGGGCATCAGAAACCAGGAAAAAACAATTTCATTCAGTAAAATTTTTCCCCTTTTATTTTGACTATTTCAATTTATTCTTCTTATTATTTGTGTCTATTTTGAAAGAATAAAACTCTCCATTAAAAGAGAAACAAGAAGTCTTCTCCTCTAACACTTTCTCCCCTTAAATAAAGGTCAAAATTTTTTGCAGTTTTGAAGCTTCGCCAGATTTTACTGCATTACTAGAAAAAAACTAAATGTATCTTGCAAAAAAGCCTTGGTTTTGATGAGCTGACTGTTCTAATCAGGATTTTGCCCCCTGAAAATCTCTGACCATCTCTCTGAGGATGGTCCCCGCTGAACTGTACCTGAGGTTCCTCCTTGGTGACTCTGCCCCAGGCTCGGGGCTGGGGCCCAGTAGATGGCCCCCTTCGACAAGGCTCCACTAAGCAGGTCCTCCAGAGCTCATCTCACATCACCTCCCCAGCACCTTTACCCAACAAAAGCCCAACATTTTCTATTGATTTTATAAAGATTACACCAAGCTATGCTCATCAACAGTGCAAAAGGAGCAATGTGCTGCCCTGCCTTCCTGATCAGCTGGTATTTTATAAACATGTAACATAACATTTCCTACTTTTCAGTAGGAAAAGGAAAATTCTACCCATCTCATAAAGATTTTTTCAGATTTTTCTTTCACCAATAAAAAATTCATATCCTCTGTATGAGAAAAGCTCTCTCTGCTGCTCTGGTATTACAGAAAGGCTTTTCTGATGGAGTAAATCCAAGCCGTAGGACTCCTTTCCTGTATCAGCAACATAATATTTTTTATCAACATTACCAGTACTGCTTAAACTGAGACTGACCAACTCTTACATCCTCAAAGGACCTACTACTTCTCACAACCACAAGTAGCTCTAATCTCTCTTCACTGAGGAATCAATAAAATAAGCATTTTTAGTCTCATGGGTCGAAGAGAAATTTCTAACCCTGTAAGAAATAACAGAAGGAAATGCTGTAGCAAATTCAGGAGCTGAACCAATGACAGTGAAGTTAATGTAAAGCTACCATTGCCATCAATAAGATGGGATCAGACAATTACCTTTGATCTGTCAAGTGACATACGATTTCTATATTCTAACCTAGAAAAAACTAATATTCCTAGGATGTGACCAATAGCATGTTTCAAATGATTCCTTATTTTTCACCCCCACACCACAGCTATTGCCCAATATGGTAATATTTGCATATATGGGTGAGACAATGCATTCTTTGCATGGTTTCATTTTTGACTCAGATCCTGAACCTTTGGGCACTGATTACATTAATGCAAATACTTCACTGTCACTCCCATTTTTCTTGGAGCCAAAAAAATAGGCAAGTGAGAAAACTTGGAGTATTTTCTTACATGTGACAAACTTTCAATAAGAAAGACTCCAACTTCAGCAGGGACAAAGTTCCTTGGTATTAAATGCTGATACTTTACTGGAAGCTACACTCTCACTCCAGCTGAGACTATGGTATTAGATATACCCAGGTTAAAAGGCACTGAGCGAATTGATTTCACTCTCCTCGAGACATTAACCAAAAATTCTCATTCTGGACATGCTGTTTTCCACCTGTGCCTCTGCCTCTAATTCTCTATTTGCTCTGGATACATCTGCACAGGCAATTTAACTCACTCTGGAATTCCAAAAGGTGCTCGAGAACAGCTCGTGTCCATGCGAAATGTCTCTACATGGCTCAGAAATTAAATCTATCTCTTAAGCTTTGGCCTTCCAGGAATGCTGGCATCCTGGCACTGTGTATAGATATGCCATATGGATACAAAAAGTAGCCAGGGATCTGATCCCAGGCAGGAACGTGTCCGGAATATGCTTTAGTCACATCAAAGCCAGTTTGTTTATGTAAGTCTGGCTCTTGGAACAACTTTTCAAGCCCCTCAGCAGACCCAAATATTTTAATACCTCAAACTCCCGACTCAATTTCTAGACATGTTCCTGAACTTTGTTCTGCCTGTCTTCCTGGAGAGGTGTTGAGTGAAGAAACTGGTCAGAGGGCAGCAAAGTTGAAGCAGAAGAGACAACCATTGGTTGAACTGGATGCAGTATTCCAGCTCTTCCCTCCACCCCTCTCTGGACCAAAGAAAGACACCCAGATGGTAAGTTTAAGTATTTTCACATAATTCCCAAAGCCTGGGATCAGCACCATGGGTAAACATGCTTGAAAAGAGCTCCCATGACCCTTGAGATACCTGCCCTCTTCATGCTGCTCCACCTCACAACCTTAGTTTTCAGCATCTCTTTTGTCTTGCCCTTACTTTCCCGTAAGAGCCCTGGAAGTAGGGGCTCATTATTTCTAGTCTCCCTGACTTTCACACTCATCTTCACTCAACTCCCTCTGGAACCCCACTTTCTTCCCCCTACCAAAGCAAGGAATGCTGTAGCAATTTTTAATTTTATTTCTTTTTATTTTTAAAGTGAAATATGTTACACTGTCCTGTGATCAAGTGCCCATGATAACCACTGCATTCATGGCAAGCCTGACTTTGAGAGGCACTGAGCTCTTGCTGCCCAGTGGAGTTCATTGGTAGGGAAAAGGGGAATGGGAAGCGGCAGTGGCTGTCAGGAGGCAGCTTGAAATTCCAGCCTAGATGCCTGAATCATATGGCTCTTTACAGATTTTTAGTTCCTGGAGGCCAAATGCATCTCATCTGTTCTGTGCACATTTGCAGGCTTCACTTATCACCACAATGCAGAGATGCAGAGACATAGATAGGTATCTCCAGTGATTAGAAGAAAATCTGGCATAGAGTGTATTTTAAATAAATAGAAAAATAATTATCTCTCACCAATACTGGAAAGAGAAGGTTAAAAATTTCCTAGCTCAGTTACCAATATAAAGATGGTAAAATTATTCAGCTGTTTGCAAGACTACTTCTCTACAACTTATAAAGCCGAGTAATGTCTTGTGACTGGCATCAGATGGGAAACCTAGAGCACTTGCATGTGATGAAAGGTGCTGAAAGGACGGTCCTAGAAAATTAAGTTCTCTCTGATCCACAAGAGCTGATCAGCAGTGGCAGCGGTCCTGGGCCACACTGTTCAGTCAGGTGAGTTAATTCCCTAAGGAGCAAACTCAGTCACCACGGTGTTTCTAGCCTCATCTATACCTCTCTGCAGTCAGACAAAAAAGCAGTCAGTTTCTGCCACTTTTACAATAGTTCAAGGATGTTTTGACAACACAATCAAAACTAAGCAAATCTCTTACAATATATTTATTATCGTTGAGTGTTTATGACAGAACCATTATTCTTGAGAACCTTTTTAAGAAAAATATCACATATCGAAGGTGTCATTTAATGCTCTTTACAGATGCCTGGATCAGTTAGAAAGAGAAAAGGCAAATTTAAGGCATCTTCCTTCCAAGCCCTTCTTTTTGTCTTTGTTTTAAACAGCTGTCTCAGAGAGACTCATCACCATAGGCTCTCTGAAGTCTCCTTTCAACGGAAGTGAGATAGAGAGAAGTATTCTTTCCTCTTACAGATGAGACACTATGGTATGGAGAGACTACTGCACTTCTCCAAGGTCACACAGCAAATGTACAGGCATAGAAGGGAGCTTCAACTAAATCTATGCAGTCCTCAGCTAGTATTTTTTTTCCTTTCAAATGAAAGGAAAAACTGGATGCTGACACCCAAATATAGCTCCTGGAACCCTACAGCAACTCCTGGGATGCTCCAACACTTCTCTGCCTCTGTCTCTTTCTCCTGCACACAGGGAAGAGCAGAGAGCCACTGCTCACCTGGTGGGTGCATGCTTCTGCTCCTCCTCTTCATCCGTGTCGCTGCTGATAGTGATGACACTCACTGCGGGGCTGGGGGTGTCGGGAATGATGATCGTCTGCCGCTGCCGCTCCCGCGTGGTGCTGGTGGCCACGTCGCCCCAGCCGCAGGTGACGGAGGTGCTGCAGGCAGGGCTGTTGTGCACCATGGCACAGCGGGGAGGCGTGTTCTCCTTCACTCGTTTCGACCGCTGGGGCGAGCTGATGGACTGAGAGGATGAAACTTCATAGGTGGATGTGTTTCTGGAAATGGGAAAAGGTGTTAGTTGGTTAAAACTCTGTTTGCTCAAGTTGCCCGTCACCAAGGGCTTGTGAGTCCCGGTCTCCGATTCAGTGGCACTGGTCTATGGAGTCTAGGAAAACTGCAAAATTGACGCAGTCACCTCTTCAAAGGAGAGAGCACCTTGCATGACTTATTCATATCACTGGCTGAAAAGCAGCTTCTTGTAGCAAAAAATTCAAATTTTTTTTCCTAGAAATTTCCAGATGAGAAATGCTGCCTCTCAGGAGTTTGCACTGGGAGAGTAGGGGCTAGTCACACAGTCCAGACATACAGAACAAAGGCAGGCACTCTATGGCTGTCACAGGAGAGAGAACCACCTAAATGATAATCTCTTTTGCCTGTATCCTGCACAGATGCATCATGACCAGATATTTTTTTGGCCAGAAAATGCTAGAGATAAAATTAGAATTTGCTGTGGAAAACAACAATCATTTATCAGGAAAACTGGTTTTTAATTTAATTAAACAGAAATTAATTTCTGTTTAAGAATCTTTTCAATGAACATTTCCTGCCCAATACACTAGGACAGTGGTGCCCCATAGATGAGAGCAGGCAGAAGGGAGGACATATACTCAGTTTCATTTAATTTCCATGTGAAGCAGCATCCAGCATACGTAAATCAGAAAGAAAAGAAAAATATTCTTATTACATAGTAAAAAAGCATTCCCAAGTCCTGTTTTTTTCCCAGTCTTCCTACATCAGCTTCCCTACCAGACCAAGTAGAAAAGGCTCACTTGGATCAGGGGTCTGAACACAGAACCTATCCACCCAGCAGCACAGTGTGGGTCTGCAGATGGGGTTATTTACCAAAGCACACTGACTAAAGCCCATTTCACTCAATTCCCACACTTTCCTTCTCCCTTGTATTTCTTCTCACTACTGCAAAACATCTGGAGATTCAAAAAGGAAAAAAAAAAAACCAAAGTTCTGGTTTTGTTCCACTGTGGGGCCTGGGCTGCATGTTCAGCCTGGCCCGAAAGCTAACAAAAGGAATAGGTGGCATCCATCAAAAGGAAGTCACCCTGGCAGTATATCACACTATACCAACTTACACAGGGTCTTTTGCATAACAAATGGCTGCACAGTAGCATTCAAAGTGCTTTTTGAATACCAATGAGCAGTGTGGAGTACCCTCCTCTCCAAAGGAGCACAGTTCCTCATTTGGCTACAAAAGAGTCACAATTAATGAAGCTGTAGAAACCCTTTGCTCTGAGGATGCCCAATTCCTCCTGGATGCTGCCATCCTGCCCCTGGAGAGTGAAGGGAGAAGGGGGGCCCTGCACAGGCACACTGGTTCCAGCAGGTGCTCTCTTTGCTGGCTTGCTGGGGACGTAGCTGCCTCTCCTCTGTGTTACCGATTGACTAAGACAGCTGGAGCCCACCCAAAGTAAATTCAACATTAGAGAGCAGATACATGGGAAGGATTTAAATAGTGGCCTCTTAACTAGAGTCAAACTGGTTGCGAACTCAGAGCTCCTCTGACCCCAGTGCAGTCACCCAGGAAAACCACAAGCTCCTCTGTTTTTGCCTCTGCACAAGTGGTGACCCATTTTGGTTCTCTCCCCTGCACTGTTCTGTTTTGTGTTTTTGTTGTTTTTTCTTTTTAAAGAAGCGTCATAGTTGCACAGCCCAGAGGACCTTCCCCAGAACAGGTACACATGCATCTCAAACATCCTTGTCCTCTAGACAAGCTTACACTGCTGTGACAGGCGCTGCAACCATCCTACCATCTGAGTTGTGCAAGAAACTCCTCCTTGCAGAGCCAAATGGTAGACTGAGAGCTGACAGATTCTAAGGACTGCCCTTGTGTGAGATATCCTTATAAAATGCTCCGTTTTGTGCTGCCATGATTATATCAAGGCCAGCATGGAGATCTGTTGCTGGTGTGTACTGCTGAAGATAGGGACTAACCACCTATGTTAGGAGCTAGAGAGCTTGAGGTGGCCTAAAGCCACCCCAGTCCTCCACTCCACATGGCATTAAAGCTCAGAAGACAGGTCATCACTCCACTGTTTTTGAAAGGGCAGATCTCGTGCGCACACATCAGGCACATGTTCCTGAAGATGCGGTCCTCTGAGGTGCATCACCTCATGGAAGTGCAAACACTGCACCTCGGGAGTGCTTCTTCCAGATGATGAGGGAAGAAAAGGTGTGGCAACTGGGCACTGCAGCACACTGACCTGAGAATTTAGTTACATTTTCAATTACAAGGCCTCAGGTAATCACAGCAGCATAACAAGTGTATGAACAGGGCCTGAGTCTCCCATCTTGCATCTCCTGTAGCCACTGACTCCCATGCAAAATGATGCTCACTGGGTGTAAAATGCACCGGATCACCTCTTACCTGCCACTCTCTTGACCTGGGTGCCAAAGAGCTGAAGCAGCAAAGACTCCAGTCACAGAATGCGTAACCTAATCCCTTGCAGGCTGTGGAATAAACTTTATTTTGCCCTGCAGACGGCAGTGAACACCACGTTGGCCAGCACGGCTGCATCACAGGGCTGCACTCGGAAGCATGGGACCCCCATCCCACCACCACGGCCAGCACCGGGGTGGGCACACACTCACCGGGGCGGGCACACACTCACCGGGGCGCCGACTGGTGCTGTTTGCTCTTCCTGGCGGAGGTGGTGGCGGGCGGCTGGCGCATGACGTGGGCGACACCCACGTTGACGGGCTGGGCGGCGGGCAGGGTCACGTGGCTGGCCAGCAGCGTGGGCTGCTGCATGATGGGGTTGTAGTGGCTGCCGTGAGCGTGTGTGTTCCTGTGTGGTGGGGAGACAGGCATGCGTTTAACATGCAACCAGCTGTTCCTCGGCAGGCTCTTCCACAGGCTCCCACCGCCCTTCACCAAGGTACCCTCCCTTCCAGGGCCCACTGGGCTCCTAGTCCACAGCACTCCACCCAAGGACATGGAACGGAGAAGTTGTCCATAGCTTTCAGACAAGGGGGCGACAGGCTGCAGCCCTTCTCCCTCACAGCCCTTGTGAGACCCCATCCCTCCTGCCCCCACTCTTCTCAGGCCTCTTCCAGCACTGGTGGGTACTTCAGGGAGCCTCCAAGCACCTCCAGTTTACCTCCAGTCTGCCAGTGGTTGGGTGCCTGCCATGGACTCCGGGATGACGGTCGCATGCTGGACAGAAGTGTGGGTGGCCACCCCGGTCAGCTGCTGCCAGGCAGGAGGGAGCAGGATCTGTTGAGTGCCACTGGGCCACGCTTGCTGTCAGACAGAGGGAAAACAAAAGGCATCATGCACCAAGCATGAGTGGTGGTCCATGCTCACCTGGGGCCCCCAATAATTATCATGGTCATACTACATAGCTCTTATCCCCTTTCAAATATCGTTAGGAAAGCACAGTAAAAGCAGTAAAAGTCATCAATATAGAGGATCGAAAGGAAGGGGGAAAAGTCCCTGCTGTACAAAGCAGCAGCTAAACTAGGCTAAACTAGGAATAGGAGGGATCAAAACTAGTTGGCTTTTCAACCCAAACATCAAACACTTTAGCACCTTTTAATTTTGACTTTGCAGATCAGCTGGGCCCTACGGTTCCATTGCCAATTTCCCCCTCCTACAGCCAGTTTTCTTTCTCATCCCAACAGGACCTAAATGACTTCAGAAAGGAACTAAAAAGGAAAATCAACTTTTCAAGGACCAGGAAAAAGAACTGGGCTTTAGCAAGGAGGGGAAAAAAGTGAATTTGGGGATATGGAAAGGGAACACCTATAAGCCACTGGGTGCTCCTCAGAAGGAACACCTTGCTACACAGCCAAGAAGCCCAGCAGCCTGCTTGCAGCTCACCAGGAGCCTCTCTGGGCAAAGCAGAGTGAAGCCATGCACAGCTATGTATTGCATGCCTGTCCTCTCCATGTGCTTTCCTGCTTTTTCTGAGTGAGTGCCCCCCTTACAGGGTGTAAATTCCTGCCCTGTGAGTTGAGCCATCGTTCTGGTATGCAATATCCCCCCAGCTGCGCTGCCACAGGCATGACTCAGGTTGTCCTGCTCCAGTGACTCCACACAGTCAGATGGTTGGTTTTTTGACTTGGGAAACTTTATTTGCTACGTGCTGCCCAAAGGCAGCTCTGGCAGCTTATCACTGCCTGGGCTGAGGAATGCAGGGGTAGCAGCTATGGCCCACTTTAGTCTCAACCTGCACTACTATACTGGACCTGTGTTGTGTTATCTCACAGCTCCAAGGAGGCTAAATTTGAGGGGAGGCTTGTTCCAAGCATACATTTGTCCCCTTCTCCATCCTCACAAGAATCCAGTTAACTGTCCCCATGATCCCCTCCTATCCCCCAGTGGAAAAAAACAAAAAAAACACGCCCCAAAAAACACCTTTTCCCATTCTGCTCCAAAGTTTGACTGTCCTGTAACTTTCCATGTTACTGAGTTAGATGAAACGGCTGCTACAGTGAGGCCTCTCACAACATCTGCAAAGGATGGACAGTCACAAGGCTCCTGAGACCCTTTCATCTAAGGAGCCACAACCACAGGCTGCTGCTGCTTGAAGCAAGTAAGAGAAAGAGGCAAAGACACTAAAAGATCAGGGAGGAAAAAAGCCTTTTTATTCTTTTCTCTTTTTTCCCCAGCTTTGCTTTAAAAGAGAAGACTAAACTACTCTTGCAGTCAGTCCCAGGGGACTACCTGGATTTACTTGCAGAGAAAACTGCTTTCTCCCTTTTCAGGAAGAGAACGAAACAAAACTAAGCTCCTTGCCTGACTGCAGTGCATAAATTTAGATGCAGTGTCAGGGTCTAGGCACAAATTCCTCACTTATTAGGTAAGGACCACTGAATCATTTAATCTGCAGATAAGACTTGTCTAGGCTGATCCACCAGCACAGCGCGCTGTGCTCACACACGAGAGGCTTGCGCCGGCAGCCGCAGCCTGTTCCCAGTTATTGCCTCACTATGAAATCTTGCAGCCGTGGTGGAGCACCGCGCTTGGGAGCTGGGGGATCCCCTGGTGCAACGGAGCTCGTGCTCCGGATATAGAGCAGGAGCGACTAATGGAATAACTGTGTTTGTTCTGAAAGCCGGTGGCAGGACCTCTGTGGGAAGCGGTGTTGGGAAGGAGTTAAGAGGAGGGCAAAATCAAGAATTCAGGGCATTATTCAAGGACAGGGGACAGTTCTAGGTCACGTCATGGATGCCTGCCAGAAAACTGTACAGTTTTGTCTCTTTTGAGATCAAAAGCCACAGAGAGCTATTAGAAAAGACAGGATCAGTCTCCTTTCACCAGTCCCTGTGCATACAGTATGTGGACCACATTTGCTTGAGAGGGTGAAAATAGACCCAGACAAGTTACAAACAAGTTACTTTAGCCACTGACCCTGCATCTTGCAGGCTGCTTGCTCTGCCCTGCACTGCCTAGCTCCATCCCACAGACTGCAGACACACAGCTGCCAGAGATGATGCTCAAAATCTGTCAGTGCCTCAGCGGGGGGTCCCTCCGGCCCCTGGAACTCCTTCCTCCTTCCTTCCTCTGGTGCGGTTGGTCTTGTACAAAATGCACGGGGGGAATTGGACGCCAGCTGCGCTGGGATGCACTAAGGCCTTACCAGCCACAGGCATCCTGATGAGGTCAAGCACAGTGACCTGTGCTGTGTGCTGGGAGCACAAGGAGCAGCACCATGCCCCATCAGTGGGACAAATAAGGCAGGTGGAAAGACAGAAGTGGGCTCTGGAAGTGCTACACTCTCTGCCGGGGACAGGCCCTCTAATAGTTGGAGCAATCCCATGGTCCAGTCTGAAGAGTATTAGATAAGCAGCTGTGCATGAGGGGAATAGCTCTCTGCTGGGAGAGAGACACGCAGCCGCTCAGAGATCAGATGTGACTACAAAGCATCACAAAGAAGCTGTGTTTTTCCATTCAGGAAACTGGAATTGGGTACAGATTTGTTTATCAGACCAGCTGCTCAGCCCGAACTGAGTGAGGCCCACGGACACCAGATGCCACCGGCATCAATCAGAGTGTCCTGCCACCAGAGTGACAGCTAGCATTTCTCATCGCGCCAGGCAAACAGATACATCAACAGGCAGACTGCCTCTCTTTTATTAAATCAAAAATTAAAAATCTATGCAAGTGAGGAGAGTTTCTCAGAAACAGCTTGAATTCCCTTTTGGAAGTGGCAGTAAATAAAATGTCGGTAGAAAGTATGAAAGGGGCAGCCCAAGAAATCGGCATTTGTGTGGCAGAGGCAGCACCGAAACTGGTGACCTGTGGGAGGGAGGGTGTTCAGGAGGATATTTACTACCAAACATTCCTCATTTGTATGAAGTCCAACAAGGCCATCTTGAGAAGAAAGAAGGAGCGTGAGGTCCTGAGATCTTTCAGGCTCCTGCTGCCTTTGGCTTCAGATCACTCCTTCAAGCCCCACAGAAAGCACACCACAGGAAGCCTGGCAGAATGATGGGGGCATGTAAAGCCCTGTGACCTCCTTCATCCACTGCCTTGGCTGACTCCTTGCACAAGCAATAGGTGCCAGGCTCTGAGCCTGCACAGACTGCTCTCGCTTTGCCACGGCTTTTGTTTTGACTGCCTCATAGGCTCTCCTTTCCTACCAAACTAGAGTGGTGGCCCACGTCTGTTGTTACAACAAGCTGTAACAGAGATAGGTTCGATGTTTCAGACAGTCCTCTAACAAAGGCTCTGCTATTGGGAAGGGGCAGGGCAGGTGGAAATCACACAGACTGCAAGTTGCATTTTGATCCACCAGATAAGCAGAACTGGCATCTGGCAAAGGAAGGCAATAGCACCAACAGTCTTACCGCAGCAGTGCAGGGCACAGGCACAAACCCTTAAGTCTGTGGGTACCTGACTGCAGACCAACCAAGACTGAGTCAGAGGCATGCATTTTTAATTAAGAGGTCACCTTTTCCAGGTTGCACGACTTAGTATTAAGTATACTAGGCGGGTTTTTTTCCTGCCTGTTATCAGCAAAGTTACCATGGCACCAGCTCAAAAGCAGTAGGGGCAGATTTCGCTGAAGCCAGCACAAGGTGAAATGAACTGCTCCTCTAGTTTGAGAAGCTGGGGTTCCCCTTGAGGATGTGCATGTGATCAATGGTACCCATTTCTGATTGTTTTTCTTCTGGAAGCAACCATGCTTTTCCTATGAGCACAATTTGACAACTGTGCCAATAAGTGCTGCTGACAAGGAGAGCTCCTTGCCTGTGGGGCCTTTGCCTCTGCTCCTTCCATCTCACTCATACCTGAAGAGCAGAGGTGCAGCTCATAAAACAGAATGGTGGAGTCTTAAAGCATGGAAGACATTTATTGGCAACACACAATTCACCACTGTGACTCCTGACTACAAACTACCACTGAGACTGCAAGTTCAGGAGGATGCAGGAAGGTTATTATTGGTTCCTCCTCAGCAGAGGCCGGATACAGATTTCCCTGAGGCTTTCCCACTGATTCCAGTAGAAAACCAGAAGGAAAGAAGTTTTTTCTGGAGGCTTTTGCAACTCTGACATAGCCTTTGAGCTGGGGGAGATTTGGACATTTCAGAGAAAGCTGCAGACCCTTATATAGCTGCCCAAGTCTCCAAACTGCACCACAGAAGGCCCTTAGATAAAGCTACTCTCCTCAGCCTTCAAGAGCTAAACAACACAGTAAATACCTGCTGAGCTCAGTGTCTTCAGAATTCCTTACCTGTGCGAGGAGTCCTGGCTGGATCTGAAGAGGCTGGGCCCCAGGAGCCTGCGTGACAATGGGAACTGCGTTCTCCATCCGAACCGAATACCCAGCATGCTTTGAAGGGGAGGCTTGTAACCCTGTTCCACCAGCACAGAAGGTACAGCATTAGCCATCAGCAGCACTGCTAGGAACAGGGCTCTGGTTTTCAGAGGTGCCTAAAGGCACTCGCTGATGTCCACTTAAATTGCAATATACAGTCCCTCTGAAAAATTGGGCTATCAGAGTGCCACATGTTCTACCCCAGCCCAGAGATGTCCAACAAATGTTCACAAACATGATACATGTATTAAGGGTACAGAAAAGACATTTTCAGAGGTATTAAGGGAATAACTGAGTTCATATTTTTAGTGTACCTCAAATGCACAGCAAATATCACAATACAGTGTATACAGGGAGAAAAAGAAAACAGCAGAGTGAATGGCTTCTCTTCACCATATTCTCCAGTTTGACAACAGAAAATGGTCTTTGCCAGCCCAAACCTATTGCTACGTGAGAATGCTATCTTTAGACCAAAGTGGGACAGTGGGATGGGAATCCAGAACTCTGTACTCCCTTTTCTCTTGAACAGCTTCTTGGGACTCATATTTGAAAAGCTCCAGCACACCCCAAACTGATTAAGCCACACATAAGCCTAACCGAGCAGCAGGAAGCTTCCCTCTCCACCACCTCAGCACAGCCTGTGCTGCCTCCTCTGCTTTAGAGCTTTCTCAGGACAGCAAGCTGAAGATGTTAGCTTATGTACTCTAGCAATACATTTCTGAAGTCAAACCCTTGAGATGCATTTTAACTACGTAGAAGAGGTCTAGCTAAACTTCTCTAGTTCAAAAGAGCTTTGATAATCTTGCAGAACATTTAACAAGTGCCTAGAGACTGCTGCACAGACAGGCTTGTAGAACTGAAGAGTAGAAGTTGCACCAGCTGAACCAAGGTCTATTTAGCCCACTTCCTACAGATACCCATCTAGTTTTCCAAATTGCTACAACATGTAAAGTTAAGAGAAGGACAAGTGGCTAATTCTGATCATCACCCAAGTTGTCTAACAATGGTACCTACTACTGTATACACAGGCAGAGCTGTTGGCAGTAGGGTGGAGCTGAGGGAATTTTACTCATAAATGGTCATGAGCATATTATGGGGGCAAACCCTCATCTCCACCCCCACCATGCTCCCTGCTGCATTACCCTCCTGAGTTCCCCTTTTAGCAATAGAATCACTGAGAAGTGATGAGCCCATTACGCACGTGCTGATTCATGTTACTGTGGGGGAAAGCTTTCAAGTTTACCAAAGTATGGCAGAAGAGCCTTCAAACTCTGTTCAGGGCAAAAGAGGACAAACATCACATATTCTCCCTCAGCCCCTTCTCAGCACCTGCCCTGTTGTTTTAGACCAGCTACCTCCAACTCATGCTGTCAGAGGTCCCTGCAAGATCCTCCACCGCTGCAAACATTTCCACCTGCAACAACCTCACTGCTCCGATTTACTAGGCCAGCCTTCTTCCTGCCACCTGACCTGCACTAAGGGAGCTCATTTCCAACACGAGCTGGATTAAACAGCAGTGGGGAGGGAGCAGCAACTGGCCAAGGTCCGGTGAGGCTGTTCCTTACCTTGGAAGCCTGGTGGGCAGACGATGAGAGCTTGCTGTAAGGGGTCGGGGCGGGCACAGATCTGCGCTGTTCCTGTCTGCAGGGGCATGCTCCGCTGGGCCACCGCAGCCATGGACGCCGCTGAGGGCTGGTAGAGTGCAGATTGGTAATTTAGTATGGAGACCTCGGGGTTGGCTAAGGAAATAGTGGCACTGGAGGAGGTGGGAGCCAGGTTGGTGGTCTAAAGGAATGACGGGAATTAAACAAAAAACAAACAAAAAAATGAGGGAGATGGGTACGTTGGAAGAAGCAAAATCCAAAAACAAAATAAAAAAGTAAAATAGTGTAAGATAAAGTGAAAAAAGAAACCAAACAAACCAAAACAAACAAAACAGCAAACCAAAACCAAATAAGGGGTAGAACAGGACACTGAGGAGCACAGAGATAGGGGCAGCGCTGGGAAAAGGAGCACAATCCGCCTGAGTAACCACAGCTGTACCACACCACAGGGCCTCTGGTCATGCAGTGCTGCTGTGAACTGCTGAGAGACACAGCACATTCTCTAAAGCAGAACTGTAGCCCCATTTCTCACCCAACTGCCTCTGATTTGCAGTATGATGAAGATGGGGTCAGAAAATGTTACTATCCACAAATCATGTTGTTCACTCATCATGTACATAGGTCTAGGAGCTGCTCATATTTCTGAGGTAAAATAAACTCAGCACCTCCATGCCTTGTGAAGTCTCATCCTGAGAGGGGAGATTCATTCCAGCCCTTTCTCTTAGATACCTTGCATCTAAGATGGCACACGTCTCTTGAATTATGTTTGGAATTTGAAGTAATCAGAAGGCATAACAGGTGGTAATACTAATACTTGCAAAGTCCAAACTTGGCTTGTCTTTAAAATCTCTTAGAGCAGAAACTCCAGCAGGGGATGTTGCAAAGCCACAAAAATCATCCCAGTGTTCTGCAAAACATCTAGAAATTGGAAGACTTTTTTCATTTGGACTGAGTCTAACAGTTGCAGACAACTAAACAGCTCTGTCACTGCTCTAAAACTATGTCCTTAGCATTCATGCCCAGGCAGCCAGACTCTACCAGACCAGAGCCCATCCTCCCCCTCTGCCCAAACATACGGAAGCATTGCTGGACATAGGTCAGACACTACTTTCTCATGGCAAATGACAGGTCAGACAACGCTTTCTCATGGTGAATATATGAACCCAGGAGGAGGCTTTGATCAAGGCTGGAGGAGACAGCAGACTAAGCATTTTGCACTGCACTGGTTGCTACTGGACCCGTGCTGCACTGCCACAGCCACAGACACGAAGAATGTGACGACAAAACATTTCTTCCTCCTCATCATCCCCTCTCCACGCAGAGGCAGTGAAGTGCAATCTGCTCTCCTGTGCAACATACCGAGCAGCAACCACAACAGCTCCCACACTCCTAATCTCAGAAGCTGTAACTGGAAGGAGGCAATCCCCCGACATTTTGCAGAGACAGGAAACAAAAGAAAGCTAAGATGAATGGTATGTTGAAGAGAATTGTGAAAGGCTTAGAGCTTGTTCAAACTAAAAAACCCTTCCTGGAAATATTTCTACCACTTCTTCTAGGAGCACTGGAGATACTGGTTCTGCTCACAACACACACCCCTTGCGAGAATTCAGAAATTACCATGGATCTCCCCAGCCAACAACTGATCGTAATGTCAAGTGAGCTGTGAGGAAACGAAAGCAAGTCTGCATTTCCTACTAGCAACTGTGGTACAAATGGTGTCTCTGCCCTGCAGCTGGGGCCTAGGGGAGCCTGTGGTGTGCATTTCTTTAGTCAGCAACTCAGAAAGAGACAAGAAAGGGAACTGGTGTTTGCAACTAATACCCTATCACACCAAGTCATGACCTATCTCTGTCTGAATCTGCTTGAATTGTTTCAAAAGACCTTCTGTGATCACATGTATCAGGACCTGAGTCACGAAGTCTGGTTTTCTGACTGACGCAGGAACACCCTGTAGGTCTACACAGACTCCTTTAGCTCCCCGGCTTTCCAAACACCAGTTCCGCAATGCCACCTGCAATCTCTAGACTGAATCTTGAGCAGCCTGTTCCCAAGAGGCTTAAAAGACAGTAGCTATTTCTTGAGCTTCAGTCTCCTACAGTGCTCTCCCTGGAGAGTTTCCCTTCACTGCTGTAATACAGTACCGCAGTAAACAACTTCGTCTGCTAGTCACAAAAAATTTGTCAACATAGCACTCCCCCAACACTGGGGCAAGTGAAACTAATACAAAGCACAATTATAAAGCCAGAGCCCACTGAAGTAGAGTGCAGTTTGTTCACAGTGGGGATACGTGCACACAGTCCCCACATCAACTGTGGCACCTGGAGTAAAACCAATGTGAGATAAGAATAAACATTATCATTAAACTCTTCTTTCATGTTGATCAGTTACAGTGCTGTGTCTGTTACAGAAGGGTTTAAATTCTTTTTACTTCACTGCAAATTTGAAGAAGTGCTGTAAGATCACAAATACTTCTGCCTGACCCAGGGAGTGAAGTCCTACTTGCTGCATTAAGGGACTAATGAGCTTTTCCCCATAGCAACTTCCAAGTAAGCAGGATTTATCACCCCAACAACAACATAAACAACATGGGCAACATTTCACCATCACACAAAATGCCACAAGATTACTGCTTGCCTGAAGAAAAGAGAATGACGAAAGGAGCAGAGGAAGGAGAGTAAAAAGGCACCATCTCTTGGCAGGCATGTTAAATGGGATGCTACTTCGCTTTTCATCTTCTAGACCCTGCTGACGTAAAGGTTTCAAGCACTGTCTGCTTCTGATCAATGCCCTTACCTGGTTGTGGACTGTGTTCAGCTGGTTGTTAAAAGTCATGGTCAAGTTGGTTGATGTACTTGGGGCTACGTGGGTGATGAATGGCGTCTTGCTCTGGTTCACTGTGTCATACATATTCACCCGCCGCTTGCAAATCTCCATGTTCTGGAAGCAGGACTTGACACTGTGTAAGGAAAGGGGGGCAAGGAACAGACAGAAAATCAACCAACCGACTAACACAGGTAACAGTTCATCACAGTGGCCCTGCATTAGGTCTCCACGGCAGGTCTAGCACTTTCTAGGCTCTTAAAGCCCTTTGCTGTTTTATGCAGGGCTCTCTTAACCAGTGAGAGTCAGTTTAACTCTGTACTGAAAAGGCCAAGACGAGAGCGGCTGCTTTGGGACTCCTGGGTGCTCCCAGGGGTCTCAGCACTGCAATACAAATCACAAGCAGCAAGCAAATTGGTTGCTCTTTAGGTGACAAGGCAAGAAATACAAAGTGGCTATTTTTAAGGACTGAAAGAGACTGAGAGCAAGAAAGAAAGATAGATACTGTTTTTTTTCTGATGATTGAGCCTGAGAGGAAAAGACAACTCACGCTTTTGCCTCTGTGCAAGCCTAAAGGTAGTTTTACACGTCCTTTGCAAGGAAGAATTCTACTATTCTTGATCAATGAGACCACTAAAAAATCTCCCTTGTTCCTTTCAAGAAGTAGTTTACTGAGAGCTGAGTCCAGCCTAGCCCTTAAAACATTGCCCCTGTCTGGCTAAATGCTTGTACAGATGCTTATCTTGAAGCACATGAGACCTCCTCTTGCAGTCAATGGGACAATTCATATTGAAAAAGGTTATGCCAAATCAGATTCATCAATGCCCCAAGGCAATCCGGTTCTGAGGTTATCTCACACTGAGAATTGGATCTCTGGGGGAAAGATTACGGCTTCTTCCTCTACGCTGACTTTCCCTTAAATGTTATTGATACAGCAATGGAAATTTTGAGAAGTATCATATTTTGTGCCTCCTGCAAAGGAGATGAAATACTCTCTACATTTTTAGAGCTCACCAGGCATCTACTACATGAAACTGTCAGTATTTCATTTTTATAATTAGGATACCGAAGCATACAGAGGTTAAGAAATAACAACACAGCAAACCTGTGTAAAACTATATTTTTAATAAAATCTCATTTTTTGAGGTCTAAAAACCAATACAGTTTTCCCACAATTCCTCCATAATAATTGATTTTACAAATGCAATCTTAGAATCTGAAACTCAACCCCAAAAAGTATAAAGGCATTTATTTTATTTCCATTATCTCAACACAGAAAAATAGCAATTCCAAGCAGTGAAAATCAGCTGTAGCTGTAAAAAATCAGCTGTATGCTGATTGTTTTGTAATGATCTAAACTGCTAGAGGAGGTAAACATATCCTCACCTAATTTTTAAGAAACGAAATGTCCCTTCAAAAGGACAACCTCATATGATCCCTCAAGCTGACCAGGAAGAGGACCTCAATCTTTTCATCCCTATCTTTTCTCTTATTCAAATGGTCACCTCTCTTTTCCTGTGAGTAATATCTTGATAACTGGATCTGGGCCATAAACACCTGCAGACAAGACAGGCTCAGGACACTGTGCACAGCTGCACATTATGAGCATTCACTTACAGAACTATACCTGTTAGTTGCAGAACATTCAGCAAAATCAAACACTTATCAAATAAATACAGAAGACTATTGAATTGCATTTTTGCCAGTCAAGTATGAACATAATTCCCCATTCAAAAAGCAAAAAGCATTGAAAAGAGTGTATATTCTCTACATGGTGAACTGTGTGTGTTACTAAACAGTTTTATATAACAAGGTGTAAGCTCTACTAATGCAACACCATGTTCTCTGTTCTTTAAAAAAGGGGGGGAATAAAAAAAGGCAGGGACAAATCAAAACAGAAAAAGTCCGAGGAGTACTCAGCAATTTAAGATCCAGGCAGCTAATTATGTGAAATGGGGACCTAAAGTCACTAATTGTCTGCTTGCAAGTAAGCAGAACAGCCCATCTCGTGCTGCTCAAACTTGCAGCCTCTCTGAAGCGTGCCACAGCAGATTCCTTCCAGAAGTTACAGCTTCCACATATTCTCACTTTCTCTGCTGCCCGATTTACTTTCAAGACAGATTACAACTCCCTGCATCTCTCAAGGCTTTGAAGTTTCTATTCTCCAAACTACAGGCAATCACAGACAAAATTTCCATCAACTTGCCATGCTGGTTACAGCTTATTGCTCTCTTTTCCAATCACTGCTTCCTACGTGGAGGGGCTGCGTGGGGTTACGCACCCGGCTGGCACAGCATTTAGTATTCAGAGACCTGATGCTGAATTCTTTACTTGGGTAAAATCCTCACTGCTATCGGCCCCAGTGATATTTTCAACCTTTCTGGGGCTTCGCCTCAGCAGCCACAAGTGAGCACTTCAAAAATGAAGATGTGGTTATGGTCTGTTGCGTTAGTGGAAAGATTTCTGACGGCAATGCATTAGGTCACAAATCTCTCCTATCTTACACAATCAGTTGTTGCACAGTAAGAAGGATTGTTGCAAATTAAGAGACTTTTGTCTGTGACGCTCACGCTGTTAGAAAATACTGTCATTTTTTATTTATGAGTGGTTTTTATATGAAACTTACTTTCTCCGTGTTTAGCACAACAATCTCCCATCTTGTTTTCATTACATTTATCATTTACTATCTATTTATAGATAACAATGCTCCAAAATGGCTGTGCATGGTACGTCTGGGTCTACCACAGATCGTGCACCCACTACCTTCTGGTAAGCAGCTGCTCTTATCTTGTGATAAATGTTACAAAAAGGCAGCTACAGCTCCTTCAAAGAGGGAAAGCTACCTTAAATGAACTTGAAATACCGCAGCCACACATACAAGCAGGAGAGCTGACACAGTTACCTGTTGCTCTGCAGCACTCACACACACATACTCTAGAGCTTTTTAAGGAATCCCCTTTAATTTTGTACCTGAGCTCCTGACAGCCTTTAAACAGTCATGCAAATGGCACCCAATGAAGTACAACACTGTGCTGGCAACTGTTCTCCTGTCAAGTGGAAGGGACAGCCTGCAAAAGCACCTTGAACTGCAAGTGCTGTAGAGCAGGATATTCAAAGCTAGGTGTCCTGAAGGCTTTGGAAAACTCCCACTATGTATCTACCTTTTTCACTTACACCTGAGAAGCCTGGCCCTATGTGAACTGCCCAGGGGACAAGGGCAGTGGGCTGGGTGCAGGTTTCCTGCACTTCAGGCTGCTCTGCTCTGTAATGCAGCCTTAGGAGAAGGGGCAGTCAGGCTCGAAGGCATGACACTTCTTCACATCTCCAGCAAGCCACGGAGCCCATCTCCATTCCACACATGTGTCAGATGAGGTCACAGCGTGGTATTTAAGGTGACACAGGCAGACAACAAACAGCCAAAAATCGAACTCCTCATCCTGTTGCCTATGCTTTTAAAACAGAGCTGCTGCAGAATAGCTTTTCCCTTAAAAAGCAAAGAGCCCCAAACTGACCCCTGCAAGATGGGAAGGTTCTGGGAGTAAAGGTCGGTTCCCCACTGCAGATAAGGTTGATTACTTCAGTAACAATCATTACTATATTACTTTGAGTTAGACTGATAGTTTCAGCACTAATTGCATAATTTCTTCTGCATTTTAATGGAAAAATACGTAATTATTGAATATTTACATAATTAATGTAGCACACATTTCAGCATTTTAAATGCCAAGCACCTACAACACAATTCTAACAACCTTGACTTGGCAATCCCCTTTTTTTTAACCAGGAAAAGATTAAAACTTAGGGTATAAACACCTTAACAATGCCCTTCAGATACATTTGGTCTCCACCACAGCCAGCTCTTCCCTTCACCCTCCAGTTCAAAACCCAAGGGAAACAAAAGCCACGTACTGTGTGCTGTGAGGGAAATCGAGCAAGTGCGTCATGGTGACAAAAGGGTGGCTCAGAGTTTCAATGGGTGTTATCCTCTTATCTGCATCTATCGTCAACATCTTCTTTAACAGATCTATAAACTCCCGCCGGTCTGCCTTTTCCACCAACATATCACTTCCTTCCAAATCCGTTGTCATGTTTACCTAAAGGAGAAACGACAAGAGTGAGCGCCAAAGGAAAGAGCAGATGGTCAGGTCTCCAGCAAACTGTGTTTACTCCTCGCTGGAGCACATGCCCTGCAAGCCTCCCTGTCTAAAGGGGTAGTTGCTGAAGTCACACGGCACACTCTGGCTGGTCATCTGGCTTGTGCATGTCAGATCTCTAGACAGACTGTTAAGTGTTCAGCTCGCTTGGGTCAATGGCTAATGAAACACTTAGTCACCCTCCACTGATGATGAACAGTTTCCATGTGGTAGCAGGCAAGCTCTCATAATCAGTGTATTCATCATACAAAGTACTGTGCTATCAGATACTTATCTATGTGTCCCGTGAGCAAGAGATATATAAAATACACAAAAATTCTCAGAAGTTTTATGAGAAACATCCCATTCATGCATCAGGTGCCAGGGAAAAAAACCCCACGTTATTTCATGCATTTATAAAGTCTCCCCTGATTCCAGTCTTCCATTTCTGCATATTTGCTTATCAATGCTACCATGTCTAGACTTTGCCAGTACAAACTCCAGTGTTGAACTAGTTTTGCACAATGATTTGTGTGCTAGCACAAACTCCTGTCACAGGAGTGGTTATGCTGGGATTACCTTTCGCAACTATATGGAATTGACAAGTGAATTAGTACTCCCCATTCCCCCAGACAGCCACATTTTACAGAGAGCACTCTTCTACAGCCATGGTGAGTATTTCCAGTGTCACCATTTATCAAACAGAAATATTAAAGCACAGAGAACTAAGGGACTTGCCAGTGGTCACACAGAGGAGTACTGCATAGGGAAAACGCAGGATTTCAACACTCAGAGATGTGACTTAGTCATTTTCCAAGGCTGCTTTACTATGGCTGCAGTCACCCCTACAAAGCTGGATATAACAGTTAATTTGGTAGTCATAATCCTGGTATTTTTCAGGAGCTGACACAAGTACAGGATGTGCAGAGAACTCATGTAATTCCCTTTTTTTAGTGCTGCCAGAAGGCATGTAAACAGTCTTCCTGGTTACTCACCAATGCTCTTACCTGTGCCATATCATCCAAACAGTTGAAAATATACTTTCTTGCTTCCTTCGACTTAATCCCCGTCTCTGCCTCATGATCATCTGGCGTCTGCTCAAAAAAGGACAGAGCATTGACCAACACTGCCCTGCAGTCAGCTGTGCTTATGTGCCCACATGTGCCTCATTCTGTCCTCATCAGAGACCACCGTGCCTCTCTTGCCTGACCAGACAACATCGATGTGATTTCTGCTATGGTTATGTGACATTTTTTGTGTCACGAGGTGATTTATCTATTCCCTTTCATTTCTGAGGATCCTCCCAACTATGGTGGGTGTCTTACACCCATCCTAGCTCAGCATCCTATCCTTACAGCCAGAAGACCACTGGCCTCTCTCCCTGGGGGACTGCGTGCAGCCAAACACACTGGCACACGAGACTCAGGGCTCACCTACATTACTACTGGTTTTGATTGTCAGAATTAAAATGCTTGCCTTTTTTTCCCCCCCAATGCATTAGATATTAGAGCAAAGTCTGCCAAGGGCATGTTTCATTTAAACTACACACCAATCCACAGACTACTTAGAGGAAGATTTCCAGGTCAATTCTAGACTTAAACTTCCCATAAAGCAATGCTGAGCAGGTGTGTTATGGGCTGCAGACTTTGGGGATGGCAGTTTTACCTTGGGCCATACCCACCCCAATGTCTGCACTGCACTGCAAAAAGCAGAGACCTAGGCTCTGAGGTGACCTGAATATCTCCTCACTTCCAAGCAACTGCAAGGTAAAAGAAATAAGGAAATGTCTTCCTACCTTCAGTCTCCACAAAGGATATGGTGAGTCTGTATCCCTGTTGAAAAACCTCGTAGTCTTTGTCCCTGCACTTAACAAATACTCTGCTGGTAAGCCCTGCGTCTGTGAAATATAGCGAATCTGTAAGAGAAGGATGAGAGGTCACTGTTCGTCCTGTGAAGATCTCTGGAGGTCTTCCCTGAAGGAGTGCAGGAGGCATTTGAAACAACGAAACAAAAAAAAAAAAAGAGAAAATGTAGCACGCAGTTAGACTTCACCNAAAAAAAAAAAAGAGAAAATGTAGCACGCAGTTAGACTTCACCCAAAAAACTTTAGTGCAAGGAATGAGAGGAAAGAGAACTTCCGTATGGAATTCCCTCCGTTTATCATGTATATCACTGGAAACTCACCCTACAGCACAGTCCCACAAGGCCTAAGGACAAAGACAGGAAAGTCCCTAAGTTTTGGAGATCAGAGAAAAGATCCAGACAGCTATTTCAATGGGGTGTCTCACCACTTTGCACCTTTTTATGTCACTCTCTCCTCTCCCAGAAAGAATTTCAACAATTTACTATTTTCTCTCTAACTTTTGCTGGTTTTCCTCCACCTGAGTGCACAGCCTGTCCTGGGAGCAGTTTGAAGTTCAAAATGGAAGACTATGAAGTGACTATCTTTGAACCTGGACGAAACATACTCTCAAATGAAGTGACACCCTCTTGGTATGTAAAGTACTTCATCTCTAATGACAACTGCATGATGTCATTTATTATGTGGGTTACATCCACAAGCATGATCTCATTGGCACCCACACAGCTAAAAGACATGTTTCCAGGATCTCCAACTTTTATTTTTTTATAAAGGAGAAAGGGTCTGTGATTACACAATTAAAGAGACACATGCCTGGGGTGCCACATGAGACCTTAACTTTGGTATCTTCTGACTCCTGAACGTTTTGTTCTGAAAAATTGCTGCAGACTCTGCAAAACTGCTCAAAACAGTCATCTACTCTAGAAAACTCCAGGGAAGAATGGAAAGTGATTTTTAGAAAAGAGACAGAGAGGGATAAAAAAATTAATGAAGGCATAAAAATCAGCTGCTGTTTCAAAGACTTCCAAGCACTCAGTGCTTGGAAGGACACAGTTCACTGTGCATGGCTTGCTCAGCTCTGCTGCTCCTTAGGTCCATCAGAAGAGCTCATGCACCAGAGAGGCACCAAGATCCTGGCCCAGTGCTGCAGCAAGGGGCCAGGATCAGCCCCTACCCCTTTCCCAGCTCCCCAGGAGCCCTCCTCATACTTTACTAGAGGAAGCCTTGTGCTGGGCAGTTAAGCTGGACAGTAAAGGTATGGTGATTTCTTTTTCAGCTGCGTGTTTTATGGCTTTTGGGGTGCAACAGGGAAAGAAATCCACTCTTCATGCTTGGTATGTGATTTTCAAACGCTTTTAAGTTTTTCAGCTACGTCTGATTTCCTTTGGAGTCACTAACAGCCCTGCTCTTCACTGCAAGTTATTTCCCCTGCCAAATATTACCTTTAGAGCTCTGAGTAAAAAAATACTAGTTTCAAAAGAAGAGTCAAAACATTTAAATTTATGAAAAACTTATTATCCTGCCTTTTTTTTTTTTGTAAAATCTATTTCCTAAAAGAAAAAAGACCCTTTACAGGCTGCATTTGCAGACAGCTAATATCAGCCTGAAGAAGACTGTGGGAATGGAAAGTGTTCCACAGCCCTGGCTCCAGCAGCCGCTGTGTTATCAGTTTTAGGACTACAAAAAGAGCACAAAAGCCTATAGGGAGAAAAAGGACGACAGCTTATATTAACTGGAAACCTACATCAATGCGAACCTTCTCCTTCTTGTCATTGCTTTTAATATGCACTCTCATAAAAGGGTTATGAAATGCAGCTGAGTTTGTGCAGTTTCTTCTAACAAATAAACCTTTATTCAGCCCTTGCTGTTACAGCAAAGAAAGGGTGCCTGCTCTGCTCAGCGAGGAGAGACATGTACACAGCTCTCCAGTCAATGGCAGCGTTGACTCTTGATTGAGATTTCACTTAGGCAGTCAGGTCTTAAAAGCCAGCATACCAAGCAGCACACCGGTTACCCAGAATAAACACCCCAGGTGGATAACAACAGGGTTGTCTTGGGAGGGTAAGAAACACAGACCCCTCATTAGCAAAAGTGAAAAAGCTGGCATCTGTTCACTCTGACAAGAGAAGGGAAAAGCACCCATGCACTTACCAGGACCCAGGGCAATATCCATACCCACCTGATCGTACTCCGAAGCTCCCGGGTATAACGGCCAGCCCAAGAACAGCTCTGCAATGACACATCCCAATGACCACATATCGATTGCTTCACAAAATGGTAAACCAAGGATGATTTCAGGGGCTCTGCAAAGGAAGAGGTTAGAAAACATCAGTAAGGGGAGCAGACCCACTCAGCTGGCATGGGGTGGCTGGTGCTGCTTGGGACACCCACGGAGCTGTGGCCAACAAGTGTCACTGCTCTGATAGAGCTGAGGGACCCACTGGCTACCGGCAAAGTGCCTGCTAACCAAACATTAGTCGGTGAATATCTATCCTTGCAGAGGAGTACTGTGGCTGTATACAGCCAAAAGACAGCCCTATGTTTTGCAGCATTTTGTAAAGGAGAGTGTAGTGGGTTTATGTAACCACCGTTATTTTCATTCAGCAAGTGGGAATTTGAAGCCACCCACTTAAGGCCCCAACTTAAGGCTCTCAGGCCCAGCTCACTGTCCTGTGGAGAACTGAGCAGATTCCCCATGGTGAAGCATCCTCCATTCACACAGACTGGTGGGTTCACAAACAGCCAGACATTAAATAATCATTATAGGACTGGTATAAAAGGATTACTGACTTTTTAAACAAATGGCTGTAACAATAAATCAGAGAATAACGTAATTAGATCTATTAGACCTAAGCTTTTTCCTCAGGAGGAAGTAGCCATGAAGTCTTCCTTTCCCAGTCTGTCCCAGGCACCTGATTAGATTTGCTTTTCCCTTTCAGCCCAAACAGTCAAAATGCAGTGGCACTCTGACTATGCATTTACTGTCGGCTTCAGGAGATGCCATCAAAGCACCTCTGCCCCTCCCCTTCCAAGGGGAATCTGTCCCACTGCTTGGGATAGTTTGAATCCTTCTTCACTGATGCTGAAAAGGTCTGTATGATGAGGTTAGACAAGCTCGCTCAACTCCAGTGGCCAAGGTGAGATGAGATGAATCCTGACCTTAGTGCCCCAAATGCTCTCTTTCAAAAACAACTTCTTTGTGGAAGGACGAAAAGGATTTTACAAATACTGAAAACCTTATACACACACAAACACCTTCCCTACTTTTCCCACCTCTGCCTAAATGTCCACATGCAGTTCAGTGACATAGTTTCTACTCTACACTGGGATCACCTAAACCTTCTCTCCTGCTCTTTTGCAACATTTCTAGAGCCCCAGCTTCTGGAGTCAGGTGATGTACAGCAGAAAGAGTAACTTCCTTTCCCACACTCCTCTAACTATAAAGAAAAAAAAGAAGACGGAGAAAAGAAACGCACATTGCTTTAAAACTTTCATAATTTTAAATATAGCCTTGAGATTTCTTGGGCCCTGATGCATATCTTGGGAATGCCTGGGGTTGACTATTGAGCAAATCAAGTGCCACCATCCGAAGCTTGAAATAGGACCCATGGTTCCCAGTTTCCCATCTGTCATCAGGATAAGATCTGACAGTAGTGAGATCATACTAAGAATTACCAATTGCAGTGGAAAATATTATGTTTTAATCACACCACTACAATCATGTGAAGACAAGTCTTTAGCCAAGAAACCAAGCAAAATGGGTAATTTTTTCCAAAGAAAGAAGCAAAGGCCTTGTAGCAAGAAGCCATGCCCCATTTTCAGTCCACAAACTTCTAAAACTTTGGGTTGACTTGTAACAATAAAAGCCCCAAAATATCTATTCTCAAACCAGCAATGCAGAATGTAAAAATTTCAGGAAATTCTGGGATTTTAAAGTTAGAATACTTTGTGTCATTACCACAAAAAATAAGCCAGAAACTTAAAAAGTGGCTACCTTTAGCCCTCCTAGCTACATCTGTGTTTGTTGTCATACTCTACTGTTCTTTAGCCCACTGTGACAATTTTTTTTTTCCTAACACCAATTTCTCCTTATGAGGAAGGGGTTAATTTTCCTCCCTTTCTCCCTTTTCCATCATCCCTGTCATCCCTGCACACTACTCGACACCTAGACAAAATGCAGAGAAAAAAAGACAGCTATGGTGACCTGAATCTCATTACTATGTAAATCCTGCATTCAAAGCCATCTGCCTCTCCCTGTCTGCCTTCCACATTGTGAACGAAATGTCCCTGGTCACTAATGAGAGCTCAGCCACGCATCCGTGTCCCCCCCCCCTCCAACTTCAAATCCCTCCCCCTAACTCAAGTGGAGGGAGTGGAAGGGTGGACTACCGGTGGGATATTCCCAATGTTATTTTGTGGAGAAAACTCCCTGTTTATAAAAATTGCTTGCACAGCTTTCGTATGCAGCACACACCTCCCTCCCTCTCTCCCCACACTTATGCTGCCAACACTTCCAGACCTCAGCAAGAAGGGATGACCTAGAATTTGAGGTTCCAATATTTCTAATTTTTTTTTTTTCTCCTGAGTCTTTGGCTGTCCAGTGGGTTTTCCTTAAAGCTGCACTTTCTGGAATGCAGTGATTAGGAGACAATTTCTTTTCTACACGCAAAAGAAGTTTTGCATCTCTGCTGCTGGGAAGAAAAGCACAAGCCAGTGCCCATATTATTTAAACACATAAAATGCAACTAAACGGAACACCATTCATTCTATTAAACCAGACCTATCCTTTTAGGGAGGGGAGATGGTGAGATAGTTTTATTTTATTTTACTTTATTGAAAGCTGTATTCGCATTACACAATTAAGCCTAAATGTTAGTTGCAATCTTTGCCCGTTAGGTCCCAAACAGATGATCATTTTGGAACAGTGATGAGAACACCTGTGAGAAGGCGGCCAGATCTAAGTGATATGGTGCCCTGCGTACATCACTTGCTGCACCTTTCTCCCAGACTTCATGTCATAACTGCGATTTTTCCATGGACAGGGAGTGGCCCTGAGACAAAAAGATCTTGTTAACTTAATTAAGCAGTCATTAGGACAGCCCAAGAACAACAGGTATTGGACACCACACAGGCTCCCAGATTTTTAGCCAGCAGACACCTCCTGTCTGCTGTGTGAAAGAGAGAGTTGGAGTCAATAGAGGCAGTAGTGGTCTGCCTGTCTGAGATGGCCAATGCCAATTTCAGTGGAGGATGCTACAAGTTTTGCAATGAAAGAACTCGTCCACTGATAAAATGCTTCTGAACCTCTCTTGGGTGGACATTGTTCTTCATGCTCAGTTAGGGATGCATACATCCCTCTGCATATAGACCTGTATCTAACATGTGAAACTCCTCTCTTCCTTAACATAAATATGTCAATTTTTTAAGACAAGGTGAGATCTTGACTTCAATCACATGTTGTGGCACAGAGTTCCATAGACAACCTTCTGTTTTGAATAGCATCTTAACTCAGTTGTTTAAAGCCTAATTTTCCTTCATCATGTTTAAATTTGTTACCTCTCACCTCATGTTTACACAAATTGGTCTAGAGGTGAAGATGAAAGTGCTTGAATCACCTTTCCTTTAGCACAAGCTATTTTTGTGTCTCTGCCCTGTTCTCCCATGTCTGTAGCACCTTATGCCTTCTCAGTGTACCACCCCACAGATGTTTCAATCCACTTCCATTGCCTGACCCTACAACTCCTCTTTCTGACATGACTGCTTGGAGACAGGCTGAACTGACCTAGAAAGAGTTAAACATGAGGATATTCCCTAGACTTATTTTACACTATTTGCAGAATGCTTTTGCATTCCAGTCTTCCCTAAGCTTAATATTTTGTTTGCTTTTGGAGTGACATGAGGCATTTCAGCAGATGTTTTATCTGGGAGATCCTCTGAGACACACAGTCCTCCCTCCAGAAGAGTTGCAGTTAATTTAGGACATAGAATTATGTAGAAATAGTTCATGTTTCCTCTTCCAATGTTTACTGCTTTTCAGTACTGCACTGATCTGGCATAATGTTTTCTGTAATCTAGATACAGCCCTTTAAATGCTCCTCACTCTTTTCTGCAGCCTAACCTAAGCAAGTGTGTGATATCTGCAAGCTTGAACACTTCACTACTGGTCCACCACTTTTTACAGATAATTAATGCATTAAATAACTATGGTCCTAAAATGTCCATGCAGTCCACTCCAGAACTGATCCTTGAATTCCAAAAAGCACTCAGATCTAGCTCAGCAATAAGAATGGTGTAACTGTCTTTTCCAAAGGGACAGAAGGCAGTTTCCATGTCTTGGTCCCTTCTCGTGTGGGATTTCTCCATTTGGCAGCTGCTAACACTATGCAACAAGGGAAAATGCCCTATTAAAGTGTGCACATCAGAGTATTGCAATCATAAATCGGAAGGACAATGCACATGGCAGCAGGTCCTCCTGGAACAGCAGTGAGGTCTTCAGCAGATCCCTCCATGGCTGCATAGAGAAGTGTTTTTTGTACCAACAGTACATTTGTTTGTTTTTTAACAGACTCACTAAACCTTTCAATTGTGGTGAGGATCTAGTCTGACACCACACAGTGGCAGCCCATTGCCAGATACCTTGATACATACAAGAACATCCCCATTTGCTGCTCTCTGCCAGTTTTTTTGGCATCTGCAACACGCTTGGCACAGTAACTCCTGTCTCCTGTACAAGACACACGGAATGAAAACAGAAAACTTTGCCCTCCTGTCCTTCCTCTTCCATGAGCTGCCCTCTATGTCTCCCAGAAAAAGGCACTCCCCTTCTGCATGTGCAGGCACAACCTGTTCTATAGCTCACACAGATCTCAGCAGCGTAGACCAAAGATTTAGAAATCATTTGCCACCAACCTGGGAAAAATTGAAGGGCCCTGCCAAGAGCCTCTGTCTCCAGAAGAAAAGCAACCAGCCCATCCCCACTTTACACATCTGTTACCCCTTTCCGACCAAATTACTCGCCTGGACAGCAAAGGGTGAACTGCTCCTTGGCTCAGCCCTGGGTCCAGCAAGTCATTCACTACATTGGAGCCCAGCTTGAATGTGCCCATGTGTCCCAGAGAGCTGCCAGTGTGGGGGACCCAGGGCGTGAGGGTCCACGTGCTGGCAGCACTCGCAGGTCCTCAGAGGCAGAAGTGCCATTTCATCATTTGCTTGCACCTCACATATGACCCCATCCTGCTTTCAGGCCTGCCGCTGGCAGAGTATTTACTTTAGCAACCCTGCTTTGTGGCAGGGTAATTTCATT